TCCTACATTTTTCAAGCGTTATTTTCAGTTTCAACAGTCACGCAACGTTTGGTCCCTAGAATAGCGTTGCGTGGCAATTACCAGGCTTCGGTTGTTTGAAAGCAGAACGCTAATTTAGAATTGCTTTTGAAAAATGTTTATTCAGGCTTAAATGGTTATTATGTTTTATGGTTGAAAATTGTACCTTAACATCTATCTGATGTTTAGTTTTTTCTTTTGTTTTTTTTTTTCTTGTAGGCGCAAATAAAGATTGATCAATATTTCCAAGTGAAATTCCAAGAGAAGAGAAAAGTTAAAAGCAAACGGATTCAACGAGTTTTGAATCGTACGTTTAATCCCTCGAGTAGCAGCAGCGACAGTGAGGACGGAGGTGAAAATAACGAAAAGCACCAAAAGCACAGTGATAAAATATCTGGTAAAACGACGAAAATAAAGAGGGTTCAAGATAAAAAGAGATCTCTCTCAACAGAAGCGAGTATAGGTGAAGAGGAAGACGAGACTGGTGCAAATCGAGTAAAACGCGCGAAGGGAGAGAACGACCAAGTTGGCGCATGCTCTCCAGAGGTGAACCGCTCAAGGGGAAGATCTAGAGGTCGGGGACGCGGCCGAGGGAAAGCGCGTAAGAGCAGTAGTGCTACTCCTAATTTGGAAGCTTCTGTTGAACAAAATTCTGAGAAATCTTCCTGTCAGCAAACAAGCAAGATAACCTCGCTGGAGAATCAAGAAGACTTTATCAGTAAAGGCAGCAATCAGAGAACTCTAAGAACTCGCGCTCGGCCTTCAACATCTGCCAATAACAGAGTAGAAACACAAGTCGATGATGTGTACACAAACAACGTAAAAACAAGGAGAAAACAGCGCAGTACTTCTGCGAGCAGGCGCGGGAAAGACCGCGTGGACCTTGCCGAGGAAGAAACTTCAACCTCTGATAGTACAGATGGAGACGAAAACGATGAGGACTTTTATGTAGGGCCAAAACCCGTGTCCGTATTTCGACGGGGGAGGGGG